CAAATTTTTTTAATTTTTTAGAGCTGAAACGTGGATTGAAAATGTACCAGAAATGGGCCTTACATGGAGAGGTCATCGGAAGAAACGCGGATATTACGGTCGCGGAAAAGGCGGGCGTAATTCAGGGCCACCAAGAAAGGATTATTCAATGCATGATGATCGTTTCGAATCTGGATCTTACGATGAACGGTTAAACGCCACGGAAGACAAGCTAAAAGCGGTAAATTTCTTCTCATTTCCGGTTGTTAGCGTTGTTAGAATTAAGCTTTGTTACCGGAAACAGTAAAACTAGTTTGATTAAACCAATGTTCCAGTAACTTCTTCTTGTTTTGGAAAGGGTTTCTAGTGAGTAAAACTCTACCAGCCTAGACAAAAATACTTGCTGCTCAGGTCCGTTTTGTACAAACCTCATTTTTGCTGACAGCAGCTCTGAAACAGTGTGGCTGTTTTATTTTACACGACTTTTAATTCACATCACGTAATTTTATTTCATATCTACTAGTAAGTTAGCATACACAGAGCCTAATCAGCAGAAAGAATTTAGTTTTCAATTGTCTCGATATTTAGCAATCACGACCTGCAGCAGATGAGACGCAATCGCAAAACGCTGAAAGACAACAAAGTCGCAATCGAGAGAATCGTGGCGCTGGCAGTAATGGAAATGCGGGTAGGGGTTACTACAGAGCTATGGGACGTGGAGCAAGGAGGAGAAGTCGACTTCTGGAAGTCCCTACAAAAAAAGACAACGGTGAACTTAGGAATGAACAGACACCGAAGGAGGAAGGAACAGTCTATGAGAAACGAGTTGAAATTGTCAAAAACAAAGAAGGCTCTAGAGACACCATAAGAGTCAAACTAACAAATCTAAGTATTAAAGAGGTAACCGGCAGTTATGTTATACCTGTCTAAAATTTTTTTCGCAACTGTTTGAACTATTGTAAAAGTGTAGTTCAGAAGGTGCTTAAAGGACTTAATTAGTCATTATTTTTTAAGGAAGTTAGTGTAACAAAAATATGTAACCTTTGCGTTTCCTCGGGGCAAAAGACCTCGCAACTGTTGGAATGTTATTAAATCGATTTAGCGTGTAATTACAGTCTAAGATTTCTTTGATATTTAGCTGGCGAGTCAATTATTATAAAATTAGTCACCAAAATAATGTTGTTGGTGTAACGGAAAACTGCATGACTTTTAAGAATTTGAATATTAAACCTTTTTTTATATTTTGGAGATACTCTATCAAATAGCGACAAAAACAGTATTTGATCATCCCAACTTTTGCCATTTTGCTGGTAATAAACTCAGATCAGTTGCTCTTTCAAAAATTGTTTATTCTCAAAAATTTTTGAGACTTTTAAAATTCTAACCATTCTAAGGGCGGATTGGATAGAATAACAGCGAAAATTTTGCATATTATATTCTTCAACAATAATCGATGTTTTTTTTGTTTTTATCCACTCAATATTGAGCATTACCAGTTCCGACAACAACTGTAGTTCTTCACTTTTTTCACTGCTATAAAATCCGCTGAAAGAATAGAAAAAATTGACCAAACTACGGTAATATTGACAAACCAACTAGCCCTCTCGTCTTTTGATGGTCGTGAGCACAACGAAATTATGACTGTCTTTCATCGTTTTTCTTGAACAGTTTCTCCTTTTAAACTTTTTTATTTTGAGTAAGTGAAAAAAGCGACATGAAAAACTTTCAAGAAGTCAAAGTGAAAGTGCGGAATGTGATGAAATTTGACGTTACAGAAATTTTTCTATCTGACCTCATAACAACAAGAACTTTGGAATTTGGGAGAGGGTGGGGGGTGGAGGGGGAGGGAGAGACGAGAACGAGGAAAGCAACTGAGATGCATAGATGTTATATGTGGTAGAAAGTGGAGGAAATAAAGCTTCAAAAAGAAAATAAAAAATTTTTTTTTCTCTTTTTATTCATGCAGTATTGATTTTGCAAAATAAATAAATAAGGTAAAAAAAGAACTGCGCAAAAACACTTAACGATGATGGAAAAAAAAAAACAAAAAGAGGGTTGCTGAATGAATTTAGTGGAGCATTTTTGGTTTTATGGGTAGAGAAGAGTTATTGTTGGGAGCTCCACATCTAAAACACGCTGTGTGTGTATGTATAGGTCTGTGTTTCTGTATGTGTGTTGTTTGCATATACTGAGTGCTCAATGGACAGCCATGAAACCTGATATATCAACCACAGTATCCAATTTCTTTTCAGGAAAGCTCTAATCAAAATTGCTAAACCCGGGCACGCCTACAAATCACGTAAAAACGGTAGCTTGCTTTTTTTTTTTTCCTTTAAATTTTTTCATTCAGCTTTTCCCTTTATTCAGTTTCTTTTCATTTTCAAAAACTACAATTTTCCCAATCTTTTCTTTTTTTTTTTTGACTAGTTGCCTCTGTTTGTTTCCCATTCTTCTTCGGAACCATCTCATTTCACATCGACACCATCTCCATCAATTTTGGTCTTATCGCCCGCTAATTTTTTTTTTTTTTTTTTTTTTTTTTTTTTTTTTT